CGTGGCAACTTTCATAACGATCCCAAAGAACATTCCTTTGAGAAGGTTCCTGATACCATCCCTGTGCATTCCACTGTTTCGGCGTGTATGTGAACACATTTGGGACTAACAGGGTTTACTAGACTCCCACCACTCCACCACAGAGTCACCGCAGTAGACGTTAGATGAGCGCTGTCGCTCCGCGGCACTTGTTTCATTCTAAAATAACGCTGGTATGTCACTGAATCTTCAAGCTCCAGTTCTCTTACTAAATTATTAAAAACACCACGCGAATCACGTCGCAGCACCCACGTACGTGCCCATGTACGTCTCTCTCTCGCTGCTGTCTGTCGACGACGCCGACGCATAATTATTAAATATATTCCAATAACTTCAAGAACGGCTATCGTGGTGGCAATGGGCGCTTCCATTTTGAACAGGTCACGTACAGTTCATACAGTGGTATGTTGCTGACAGATGGTTGCATTGTTGCCGGGTCCCACACACGTGGCGATTTTTATCGACAGTACTGTCGATAAAAATTGCCAGTACTGTCGATAAAAATTGCCACGTGTGCACCCGGCTTAAGGCCACAATTAAAAAAATCTTTGTTTGCCATCACCCGACCCAGGCTGAAAAATTTGGGTAAGTAGGTCGGCTTTTTTTGAGGGCAGGTGTGTTTTTACAAATTCCACATGGTGTCTACATGCTCGGGTGTGCTTGTGTGGAGATACCTTTTATGTTGAATGTTTGTTTTGCTTGGTACATATAATGTATTGCCTACAGATTTATATAATGTACAGTGATACAATTTGTTTAAAAAAAAAAGATCAATAAAATCTTTTGAGTCTGCCTCTTTTTGGCGAGTCGGTCGGGTGAGGGCAAACAAACAATATTTTTATTATGGCCTAAATTATTCACACTTCGATTTTGGTCAGGTACAACTTCTTGCAAGACGAAGTGGAAACGACTGTGCTGGATGTGGTGAGGGAGCATCTCATGCGACGGCAGCCGGTCGACGCCGTCTCGCGTAACGTGCTGCGCCTCCTGGTGGTGACGTGCGGCATCGGCGAGGTGCGCCTGCTCGCCGCGCAGCGGCTGGAGATGTGGCTGCAGAACCCGAAGCTGATGCGGCCGGCACAGGACCTGCTCATGGCCGTCTGTGTCAACTGTGGCCAGCACAGCCAGCAGGACGTCGAGCTGATCAGCAGCCTGATCAAAATACGCCTGAAGACGAAGCCGCTGATTAATCACTACATGATGTGCTTTAGGTTCGTGGTATCAGGAGTGTATAATATAGACTATATCTATATCTATCTATATCGCCGGACAGAAGGGATTCGTTAGCCATGGAAGGTAGCCCTTCTAAGAGAAGGAAAACTCTGACATCAAACGCGGATAGATGTAATTCGCAGCTGTGGAAAGCAATTCATCTAAGGGAAGAAGACCCCCCCCCCCAATAAAACCCTGGCCCTCCAGGTTGGAGGTTGGCATAGGGCGAATAACTCTATCTATAAAACAAATTTATTACGGAAACTATATCTATCTATCTATATCTATATTATACACTCCTGATGCTATCATACCTCGTTTGATGGATAGGATTCTTTTCCATGGCTTGCCTGCTGAGCAAAACGTCCGTTAGATGAGCTGGTCATAACATCATATCTTATGAAGATGTGGTACACTACGCTATCTCGTTGCGGCATCAGGCTAGCATTGTTAAATACGAGGTCGAGGATAATAACTGACTTGTAACTGTGGTGGCAGACAGCATTTTAGCTCGCCTTGACATCGTCAGGATGAGCTATTGCCATGGGGTGTCGTCCGTCATACGTCCGTCCGTTCGTCCGTCAACATTTGGCTACGGTCAACGATAACTCAAGAACCGTTTGACCCACATGTTTCAAATTGCATATAGTTGTTACTCCTATGGGAGAGGTTTAAACGTCCTATTTTGGAGCATGCTAGTTGACCTACTTTCGAGCCACGTCCACTTTTTGGCAAAAATGAAAATGGCCATCTAGATTCATTCGATTTTGTTAAATTTTGGTATATGAATGTGTAAGGCTAGCCCCAAAACAGTTGTTACTCCTATGGGAGAGATGACAACGTCCTATTACGTTTATTTCTTCTAACTGGTTAACAACACTACAATCATACCTATATACGTGTAATATTGTAAAATTTGACTGGAATATTTTATTGTTTTTATTTGCACGATATTCGAAAACCAAAATGGCGATCATTTAGGCGTAGCGCCATCTCTCATCAAGATTTCACTTTCAGATCTGAAGCATTTATTTTCGCATCAAAACTTATGCATATATCATTATCAAAAGTATATAATGGGAGATATATCATATATACTCTTGCTTTATATATTCCCCCCCCCTCCCTCTTCTATCACACCCAAGGTGAGCTACAGTGTTACTGACACTTTCATTTGTCGTTACTATTGTGTGGATGATTTTTCTTGGGTATCACTGCTTGGTATTATACAGGATTTTTTTAACTAATCTTGTTATTGTCCATTAAACGAAGTTTTGTTCAGCAACGTATATGGTAAAATAATAATATAATAGTAGAACTAATAGATGATGTTGTTGAGTCTGTGCCCAGGGTAGCATAGCCTAGAGCTATGCAAAGTTGAGTCAAAGGTTTTTAGCTCATCTGACATAGTCAGATGCAGCTTGTAGAATTGCATGATCGTCCGTCCGTCCGTCCGTCAACAGTTGGGCACAAATCTTAACCGCTCGACGTACGGTCACGATATTCGGCACATTGGGGGGGGGATCGTCAAAACGAGTTATGATGTCGAAGCTGGGGGTCAAAGGTCAAAGGTCAAGAGGTGTAAAAGAAGGGGGAACATTCACTCCTTAACTTAAGGTATAGGGAGGAAATGCAGAATTGCGGCACAAATCTAAACGGCTCGACCTAGGCTCGTGATAGTCGGTGTATAGCATCATGGTAGGAAAAGCCATCACTGTGCTGAAATTGGAGGTCACAGGTCAAAGGCAATGGGCACAGGGCAGATTTTAGACATTTTCTGAGGACATGGTCTGACGGAGCGATTGAAAAACTTTTTTGTTTCAGCGGTGACCTAGCATTTTTATGGCTTTATTGAAAGGACCATGAAATGTTCCTTCTGCTGACATGCGAAGAGTAAGTGTCGGATAACCTTTTGACCCTCAAGAGGAGGGTTAAACATGGATTTGTTTACTGTCTGTTAGAAAGAATTTGACTACCGGGTTTGCTAGTAGATTCTATACATGCCTGGATGTATGAGGCTACAATGTCACAGTGAAATTTCAAAAGCTAAATTTGGTTGAAGAAGGTTTATGCTCCTTAAATCGTATAATTTCTATGGCATTCTGTACTGTCAGTATGTTACATGTAACGTATGCCACTGCCAGTGGCCACTGCCAGTGCATGTGGTGGTGGTACTGTGTAGTTTTTGCCTGCGTTAATTGGTTACAGGTGGCAGCTCTCTATTGCAGCCTGTAGGCTTGCGTAGGTAAATGGATGAGTGCTTACCTATTCTGTCTTGCAAATAGTTGTTGCTACTACGTACGATGGGAGCTTCCATCTTTAATCTGAAGACACTTAAACGTATGCGCCATCTCGTGGCAACTTTCATAACGATCCCAACGAACATTCCTTTGAGAAGGTTCCTGATACCATCCCTGTGCATTCCACTGTTTCGGCGTGTATGTGAACACATTTGGGACTAACAGGGTTTACTAGAATCTCACCACTCCACCACAGAGTCACCGCAGTAGACGTTAGATGAGCGCTGTCGCTCCGCGGAACTTGTTTAATAATGCTTGTTAGGTTAACGAATTTGGCAAATGCAATTTAACATTTTTATGTAACGTTAAATTGAGAGGATCTCATCTTGTGCTATCAATGGCGTATTCAAGCCATACACGTGTGCATACTGTGTAACTGTAGCACATGTTTATCAACAATAAAATCCTTCGCTGATAGCACATTATGGCTTTAATTTTTCACAGAGAGCTGCTGAATCAGCATTCTGACAATGTGAGCACAATTCTCAAGCACACGATCTACAACGAGCTGTCAACTGCCCGCAATCCTAACAACATGGGCCTGCTGGCTGTCATCTTCCAACACTTTCCAGACTCGGCTGCTAAGGTTAGAAAGCCTGGTTTGTTGCGATATTTTAAACAAATTGAAAGGACAGGATCAATCACCATATAGCGAACATTCCTGCAAGACTTTGATTTACGGCAAACTTAGTAACTGGTACCTGTAATTATATTTTACTGCGTGAATTGGGGGATTACATCGTGGTTGTGCTGTTTGTTGTGTTGCAGCTGCTGTCGCAGGTGTTCCAAGATCTACTGATGAATAAGGATGATTATCTACGTGCTTTAAGAGCACTGCTGCGTGAGATCGTGCGTGCGCTAAGGCATGACATCAACTTCCCTGTCTTCTGTCAGGGCCTGATGGTGGAGAGGAAGGATTCGCTCTTCAGAGACTTGGAACCGGTACTCAAAGAAAGGTGCTCAGTTAAATGCTGGATCATTTTGTTGGAAGCTTGTTTGTTATTCTGAAGTTTTTCGTTGTAAAAATCTAATAAGTAAATAATCTGAAATCAGTCCTAGAGTTCAAGTGTTTAAAATGAGGAAATCTACCGTTTAGGTAATCAGTCTAATTAGTTCTCACTCTAGTTAGCTGAAGAACAATGCATGTACAAAACAGATGCATGTATGCATCTTACGTTTGATGTTTATATGATTAGGTTTTTGGTGTCTGTGGTTGACATGGTCACACTGTGTGTGTTGCTTGGAGTTACACCAGTGGTTAAAGACAGTGCTCAATCGCGCGGGGAACGAAAAGGTAATCAACACATTTCCTTGTGCATCCTCATTTTACCACATTGTTAGTTTAAAAGATTTGCACCATACTTTTAAATTGCAAAATAAACCAATCACATAAGAATTTATCAGGCTTCTCTGTATTTTCTAAATAGGTAAAAAATCAATCTGATGTGATAGTGTTGATACATACATTTGTGATAGATGAAAATAGCACCTATAAGAAATGTTACAGCAGTGACATCACACAATTAATTGTGCATGATTTCAGACATGGAAGCGTTACGGAACTACCAGCAACAGGTAGCTACAATCCAGCGTGATGCTATCTATTGGATGTATGTAACACTGCCGAAAATGCACAAGCTTGGACAGCCCGAGTACATTCACAGGTATCATATTATGTACATGCATGCAGTAATATATAACTATACAGAAATACACCGGAAGGGGTGCGTTATAAGCATATATCATTTGGTAGTTGGTATATCAGGTAAACAGTAAAGGTAAAGAATAATATTAGTTTTACCGTGCCTGCATCGTTTCTGTAGTCATTATGTTACCTCATCATTTCAGTCTACACAAGCTGCTGTTTATGGAGCAAGTAGACACTTACTTTAACAAAGACAATTGGCCACCCGAGGCAGAGAGAAGGTGTGTTTTTAGTTGTGCTTCTGCTACATGCACTGACATGGAGCAGGTTTATGACACTGAAAGTCTACGGTGTGGCATCGCGGTACACAACTGTTACATTGGATGTTAAATTGACTACGTCACGAATTTTCTATGGTAAAATTTGTAACATTTTTGTTGCCATTTTTTTACATTAAAAGTAACCTATAATCCTAAAAGTATCCTCAAATTCTTACCTGATAAGATTGTTTCTCAACTAGTTAAAAATCCAAAAAACCTTGACGATTTGATGTTGTGTTCCTGACATTAATTGCTTGCTATGGGCTATGTAGGAGTCACGAGTGTATGTTCACATTGAACAATATAGTAAAATAAGAAGTATAATGCAGCAATTTAACCATAGAAAGTGAACAGAACTACTTGTATTTTGTGAAAAAGTGGAAATATTTTTTTTATTTTTACTATTTACGGTGACGTAATCACTTTAAGGAAGGTGAACTTTTGGACCACTGTCATATGTACATTTTATACTGATTGCATACTGATTGTCACTGTTACCACCACCTCTCAGCACGATTCTCCGCCTGGCCTCTGATGTACCCCTACTGGAGGACACACTTATGTGGATCCTGCTAATGGGTCTGTCCAAGGTGCTTCCCCTGAGTTGTCTAGATGCTATGGAACTTGCCGATCACTTGGTAAAGCGAGCAGCTGCTCTCGGCGGTGAAAATTTGGATGTGCTCAGAGTAGGCCGACTAGAGATCATTGACATGACCTTCAATCTATGTGCATACCACCATCCAGAGAACATTTCACTTCCTGCTGGGTACGTGTGTATAAAGATTGACCTTTCACTTTCGTTTTCTGAATCACTTCATTCCTGAATTAGAAATGACGGACTGTAATTTCTATTGATTACAATATTTCACGAAAGAAAGTGTTAACATTTTGGCTATAGTTTGAACTTATGAGGTTGAGTTAGTAAACGTTTTTGGGTGAACGACTTTTTAGACACAGTGAAGACCAATTGGTAATATCTGAGTGTTGACTTCTTGTTTACGTTCTTAAATTTAAAGTTGATGTACCTTATAACTTTGTTTAACTAACTGAATAACTTACTTACCTAGTGTCCATGTTTATACATGTGTAGCTACACACCGCCAACACTCGCCATAGCTAGCATGTACTGGAAGGCATGGCTCATGTTACTCATACTGACGGCACACAACACCGAGCGATTTGGCCAGACGGCGTGGGAGGACTACCCGATGCTGCGTGTATTCATGGAGAACGTGATGACTAGCCAGTATTCATATCCTCCTCCATCGGCCATCACCGACGACACTACAATAGATGAGCTGTGCAGTCGCGAATTGCAGGTGTGTGATGCATCAGGACAATATCCCATCTTATGTTTATCATACATTAATTATATATTACTTTATGTTGCGTAAAGTTAGGTTAAATTACATTATGCTGTAATATATTCCCATTTGTGGGCCTTATTAAATATGTGCGACAGTAAAAACGTTGACGAAAAAGTTTGCGATCTAACATTTTGAAGTTCTATCTAAACAGAGGAACATATTTTGAGGTGCGATTGAACTGTCATCAAACCAGCTATTAAGGTAAACGTGTCCTGGGTCACTCCACTCTGCAAGCTGAGACAATTTCCACAATTCAGGGTGCATCTTGCTGAAGCAGGCAGTACTATTAGTGATATTACTTGTCTTTTTCCTGCGTGAAAGTAACCAGGATCGCATCTAACCAGTAGATGATACAACATGCCTGCTGCAAGAAGACATTAGTGACTGACGAAGACACATCACACGTGTAATAGCCCACCCTAATTTTGAATATTTAGATCGCTCAGCTAGAGAAACAGCAAGTGTTGGAATTTGAAAGTCACTTGGCTTCAGCGTCGACCGGTGCTGCCATCTCAGAATCGAACAGCTTGCTGCTCTCACAACTGGTCACGATGGATCCAACAGGGTCCGCGAGAAAGCCAACGAAAGAAGTGTACGAGCAACTACAGAAACTCAACAAGAGCCTGAAGATTGGGCAGTTATTGTGTCGCAGTAGGAAGCCAGATTTTCTGCTACAGATAATCCTGAAACAGGTGCGAGCGTGAATGAGTGTAGACGGGCATGAGCGCTTACGTGGTTGGGTCTTCTATACCATATACGACTAGAAATCGCAATATCCCTGCAAGTATTTTTTATAGATTTGATATGTTCTGTATCAAACTCGCAATTAACCTACCAGTAATGGTGTTTCTGTTATTCATATGTCACTAGAATCTCAATCTTGTATTCATTGAAAACACATGTATTTATTATTAAGGTTGCACATAAATATATATTTTTTAAATATATTCCCGAAGTTCCCAATATCACAAGTAATGTACACGACCATATGTGTAGGGAACTTCGCGGTCTATGCCCTGGCTGGTAGAGCTCGTGCAAGCATCTGAGAGTTCTCTGGAAGTTCTCCCTGTTCAGTGTCTATGTGAGTTTCTCCTGCACGATGTCACGGAGGAGGCAGATGATGTGGATGAAGCAAAGGTGGAGAAGGCGCACAAGGAAAAGGTATATTTTACGGTCATCAGATAGCATGAACTCAGTGCGATTGTCATTATATACAGCAATGGTATGTGTTTTCAGAGACCATTATGAATCATATAAATAAATGAATAAATAAATAACAAATAAACATATATATATATATATATTCTTCCTCTATATATATTCCACTAGTATTTAATGTAGGCTGTCCGTCCAGTTGTTTGCATCAAAACGAATAAATGGAAAAAGTGGAGAGAAGAGATATATAGACACAGGCCCATGCACACGCATGCACATACATGGGATATTATTTCTGTTTTTCTGATTTTGTCAATGCTAAGAAACACTGAAATACACATCAGTATGTCACTTGGCCCAGGTTACTTCTTGTAGTCCAGACCTTGCAAGTGAGGATGGTATGGCAAGGATAGTGTGTATAGCTGCTCACTATTGCGGCCATTGATTTTGCAGAAGCAGCTGAAACAGAAGCAGTTGCTGGGGCGGCTGCAGGCGCTGCTACGCGACCCATGCGGCAACCTAGACACTGTCAGAGAGGTACTCCACTACTTCCTGCAGCGTCTGTCTTCTGCACAGGCGCCAACCAGGTGTCTCGCAATTAAGGTAGGGACCGAGTGTACGTGAACTCTGAACAATACTGGATAGCCTAAAATTTAGTACTAAAAAAGGGATTAAATTGAGTACAATAAATATAATACATATATAATGCGTACGTTAATTTCATTCTTAATATCATCATATTCTAAATATCTATACTAATGACATAGCAGGAGTTTTATACGTACCTTTCCTTAGATCTGCTTTATTTTATCCTACGATATATATATATATATATTTATATATACTAGTTGCAAGCTTTAGGTAAGTAAGGATCGTTGTAAACTAGCACTTTCAATGTTATGTGTGTTACGAGTGTATCAGTGAAAATTCATCCAAATTAAACTAATCTTATTTCTATAAGAATCTATCATTATTATATCTAATTTTATTCTAACGAAATTAAATCTCACTAGGGTCTATCGATGGTACTGATACCGCCAAAGGATACACAATCTGAAGGAGAAGACGATGAGTCTGACACTGAAGTTACAATGGATACGGATGAAGATGAGGCAACATCTCATAAGTGGTTGCTAGTGCAGCTTCCTACAATTGCATTATTTGAGCAAGTGAAACAGGATGTAGCTGAAGCTTTGCGCCAGGTAAACACACATAATATACACACGGGGTGAAGTAGACCATTGAGCTCGTGGCTTCCTAATGAGAATAGTCTTTAAGTGAAGATGACTAAGATTGTTACATTATTAGGAGTGACATAATGTAGATGTTAATATAGTGTATAATATATATGTGCGTGTGTGCGTGCGTGCGTGCGTGCGTGCGTGTGTATAGAGTATTATGTAATATAATATATCACATATATTGTCACTCTTGATATTATCACATGTACAATATAAACTTCATATTGTCATGAGATTTTATTGGACCTTGTACAGTTGTTCTTTTGTATAGTTTCATTGTGATCTTCTTGTAATTTCGTATATTTATGCATTTATTGAACAAACAGTGATAACATTTTTCTATTTTTGTTTGCTCTCGTTGTTCAGGCATGTCAAGTGGAGACAGATCCATGTGCCCTCAGTGCATATGTCCAGTTTCTTGCCTCTCATCTTCCCATATCTGATATGCAGAGAATGGCTGCTCTTGCTCTGGTTTGTACCTTTTTGGTATTGCTCTCCAGAATGATTTTACATTATAAATTCGATTTACTTGACAAATTCAACCAAAATAATACCAGCAGCTTTTTTGTATACTGTTGAATTATTTTTCAAATTCAGATGGTCATATGAGTTTTATGTGAATTTTTAATTGAAAAATGTATTTAGTTGCCATTTTCATAACTTGAAATCATAGGCAAGAATCGTTAAAGTTTTACTAGAACTAGTATCAACTGTAATGGTAACCATCTATGCGGTCATTGTTAATATGTGAAATATGTTTGTGTTGTAATGGACAATATGTGTATAAACAGCTTGGACTGCTTCTCTGCTTGAATTTCTTATCTGATGCCCTGCAGGACCTCGCACAGTTGATAGTTGAGAGGCCTACGGTGATGAACTACATAATGCCATCAGAATCCTGTCAGTTTGACGGCGCGTCTCGCACTCTGGCAGCCATGCTGGAGATATTCACTGCTTACATAAAACAAGCTATGATGCCTTCTAAGGAGGAATATTCATGGGTAACTTTTGTTTGCTGTAAATATTTATCATTTATAAATATATCATTTGTGCTGTACATGTGAGTTTGAACTGCATGATGTATGCACAGCTTAATACTGCTAGACATGGCCTAATCCAAAGGATTCTGAAAGTGCCATATATTCAGCATCTGTTAGCAGAATGGTAACATTATCACTATAATTCTTCTTAGAATATCATGGAGTTTTTCGAGGGAAAAACCCTCGTGTGATGTTTCGTTTATGCTTGCGGTACATTACGGGTACGGTACGCGTAAAGTTTGCCACGTGAAGTTTCACGCGAGGGCCTGCGGTCCGTGTTGCAGTCGGAGTCGCAGGACCAGATCCTCGTGCAGTGGAGCAGCGGCGAGGCGGCGACGCTGCACATCCTCGTCGTGCAGGCGATGATCATCAGCCTCACGTACGGCCCGCTGAAGAGCAGCGACGCACGCCACCACGAGCTGCTCGACATCTGGTTCACGGCCGGCGGCGACACGCCGTCTGCGTACCTCGTCGACACGAGCGAGGAGGCGCTGCTCTTCCCCGACTGGCTGAAGCTGCGCATGATCCGCGCGAGCGTCGAGCGGCTGGTGCGCGCCGCGCTGCGCGACCTCGAGCCCTCGCAGCTCGTGCTGTTCGTGCAGAGCTTCGGCATCCCCGTCACATCGATGGACGCGCTGCTCTCCGCGCTCGACCGGTGCGCGCGCGACGACGCGGCACACGTCGCCGACGCCGTCGCCGACCACGCCTACATGGCGCAGCTCGTCGAAGTGCAGTGGCTGCGTGGCGCCAGCACGGGGCACGCGTTCCACCGCTGGCTGCAGGACGGCCGCGCGGCGGCAGCAGAGACACACCAGGAGGCGCCACCGCAGACCGGCGAGGGTGCCGCGTCCGTCGATGAATCACGCACGGACGCGCCCGCTCCGCCGGTTACCGTCGAGGCAGGCCCGCTTACGCGCGGCGCTCTGAAGGATGTGATTGCAAGGATGTTTGCGAGCGATGAAGTGGAGGTGGCGGGCTTGCGGAAAGATGCAACATTGCTGCAGCGCTCGTTAAACAAGGAGTTCCTCGAGACACGGTTGGATTTTGCTAGAACGGAGGAGATCTGTGAAGTCATGAGTGAATTTCTCACTGGCAAGATGCGCGATTCATTCATCAAGAACCTGCACGAAAGGTCGAGCATAGCCATTCCATTGTTCGCATTGCTTCATCATATTCAGGTGAGGTTGGATTTCGCAGCACATTTATTTAGCTATAGTTTTTAATTTTGTGATAAGCTTGGTCTAAATAATTCTCTCTAATTCTAATCTTCATAAGCTTCAGTCTTATGATTTTCATATTGATCTCACTAAAACATTTGATGAATTCAAGAAGGATTTCAGTGGTACTACAGCAGGCAGGGGCGACAATCTTGAGAAGCATTCTATAATGTTTTTAGTGGCTCTGTTTGATTGTTCATGATTTGATCTTCATCAGGTTTCCCAAGAGCAGAAGCTGGGTAAAGTCAATCCTGCACTGTCCACCCTGCTTTGCACAGTTACTGCTTTATCGGAGGGGTCAAGCTCTGCACTGGCGAAGGTCCTCCAGCAAGCTGCAGCCAATTCAAGGAAGACGAATCCGCAGGAAATATTGTCGGATACGACCGACATATCTCAGGGTACAGGCTTGTGTTCACCTCTGCAGCCACATTTTTTATTCCCTGTTTGTTTTACCTAGTTTTTGACTGCTGGTAAATTAGTTATTAGTTATTAATATCTTTACTATGTCTGTTGTTTTAGTTCTATGTTTCTAACTCTGCAAAATCTATGTGCAATCTCTCATTTTAGCTCTAACCAAGATCAATTGGGTAAAGGGCAGCGCAGAAGCAGAGATGGAAGCAATAATGAGCAAATACATAGCAAGCAAGGGTGATGCTTCACCAATCCCACCAATAATAGAAGAGTTGCAACGATCACCATGTCAGCCACAGTCAGGACTGCTTGTTGATTGGCTGGCACTATTGGACCCTGAGACGGTCTCTGCATATCCAGAGCTTGAGGCGGAATTACTGTTTAAGAGGCAGAAGACACCACCTAGTGATGGCAGCAAGGAAACGCATGCTGAGAGGTACTCGGACTTGTTACAAGATTAGTCACATCTCATTTTGTTAATAGCATATATATTTCAGAATACGTTATTAAATTATTATGAAGCTGATGTGTTGAAGAGTGTCACACATTTTCTTCTTTCTCTGACAGCATGCCACATCCATATCTGCTAGCTTTGCTTACACACCAGAGCTCATGGAAAACCCTGCATCAATGCATCGCCTTGCTTTGTGGTGAGCAGAAGTCTACTTATAGTCCTGAAATTGTGTTGGACTTTTTATGGGCATGTGTGCACATACCGAAAATATGGCAAGGAAGAGAAAAGAAAATACCAAAGGTATATGATGATACGATATGATTTTATATTACCTAGCCCAAATATTTAGCGATTGTGATAAATTATTACTACCATTACTATAGCATAACTTTGCTATTTTAGTCCCTAAGATGAACAGATTACATCAGTGCTCAGACGTAAACAATGCTGTATAAATAACTAAGTGATACTATATAAATGACTCCTTAGTGACTTATTGTTTGATAAAAATGACTACTAAATGATACTACATAAATTAACATATCATCCCATCTACTACTTTTTGCAGCGATATGTGGAGGAAGACGTGCTGGCATTGACCCTTCCTCAGCTACTCTCTATGGTGGGCTACATCCTGCAGGAATCTTCAAGTACCCCAGATTCACTCAGTCAGCGTTTACCGCTGCTGCTGCGCTGTTGCCGCCATAGCAGGTCTAAGCTCCAGGCAGTCGTCAAGCTTCTATACAGCCTCATCAGAGCTCAGGGGTAGGCATCCTAATCCCACACGTGTGAGGTCCTTATTAGGAAATCACATGCACTCATTCTAAAATTAGGCCAGAGACCTGCAACGGGAGTGTTTGCTATACACATACATACTTGGTTATGAAAGTTTGGTTACATTACAAGAGCAAATAGTCATGCGCACGCGATGCATAGCTCATAGGGTCTATGTCCCCCAGGGTACTGCCGGAACGTACCCTAGTACGGTCCGGTATACCGGAACGTACCCTTGGTAACATTCTGATATGGTTAGGTTTAGGGAGTAGGCTAGGCGGACTCCTAGACTCGGTATAGAAGTTAGGCGAGGTACGGTCCGGCATATTAGATAGTACCAGGGTACGTTCCGGTATACGGGTCCGTACCCAGGGTACGTTCCGGCAGTACCCCGGGGGACATAGACCCTCTCAGCCGATGCATAAGCGTCCGACGTTCTAACTGTCGTAATCTCTGCCTCAGCAGGAGTGAGTGGAAGTGTGCGCAGAGGCTGCTCCTTCTCATCTACCTTAACATTCCATACACATCAACACTGCTGGACTGCACTGGTCCCCTCATCACTGATGCATCTGGCATACAGACTATCACACAGGTATCACATTACACTTCATTAACTTTACCAGTTTACTTTACTTGGCTTCTCTTTCATAGACGTGATAAGCGTTTCTAATTAATACGAGAAATTGTACTGTTACTAGAATTGCGATTTCTTGAATGCGACTAAGAGTACGCGTTCAGCCCAGTAGTCTGACATAGCTATATGTGATGTTCATTGCCTGCTGTTATATTGACTGTGCTATTGTTTCAGCTGGATGTTGCTACACATCGTATGGTGACAGCACTTGGCAAAACTGATTCTGGATTAGAAATGTCGGTCGCTAACGTACAATGTAGGAAAATGGCCACTGCCCATCCACTACTAATTCTGAGGTATGCTAATGCAGATAATGCTAGTGTGCTATATCAAACCAACGTTATTTGAAAAGTAAATATTTTGTTAGCTAATATGAATAGTATAAATAGTGTGTAGCTACTAGCTAGTATATATAGATTGCTATGTGTAGACCCTAGGGAATGTCATGGCTACAAATATTGGTTTCGATTTGTTTATGGACGTTTATTGGAGTTTAGGAGTAATAACCTTTCATAATAAAAACAGCATAGACATGTTCCCGTAGTACAGGTGTAGTACATATTATAATACTGACTCACGTGCAATATTTCTTGCTGTACCACAGACAGTTGCCACACATCGCTGCAATACTAAAAGGTCGCACGCTTCTCAACTTCGATGAGTTTGCACAGAAGCGCCACCTGGCACTGTATAGCAACATGCTGGGATTGCTTGAATTGCTGCAGCCGCACTTGTTTGTCACGGAGACGGAACCCTTCCATGATGTGCTAGATTCCTATTTTGAGCTTTTGCAGGTGAGTTCCAGGTGCTTAATGTATGATCTCTCTCATTCCACTATTCCGAAATTAAATTCGAATCATTCCACATATTGTAATCATGATAGCTCGGACATTTGATTATGTTTCCACGAAGCACAAGAAGCCCATCGTTTGCCAAGTCTACTTGCTTATCGCACCTCTATCACGTCTAGTCATGATTATTCAGTGTGCTGTTGCTGTCATTTCCGTAGAACTATGCTCTGGACCATGGTGACAGGGAGCTAGTAGAGGTCGTGAGACGAGTTTCTCAGCTGCTTCATCAGTACATGGTCACCGATCCCCAGGCTGCAACGAAATGCCTGCAGAAACACACGGAGCTACTGCAGTGAGTTGCTGCTGTAAACAAATCATGCATATATGTCACCCGGGTCTTCATGGCATGCAACGTGTGCTACTCTTGCCGCACTGCCATGCACGATACAGAATATTCTAGACATGAATAATTACAATTACAATTATTGATGGTAAGCATGTTAGTTGGGTATATATGCGAAATGTAATGTTGGGTATATATATTTTTTCAGGAGCCTGGCCAGCTTGCACACAGAGCTGTCCACCCTGCGCTCACTCGTAGCGAGAGTTACAGTGTCCACAGGCGACACAGTGGCAGTGAGCATGATTTCCTCTCGACCTCCATCACCTTGGTCAGCCAGTCAGCTGCAACCACTCAAGTTGAAGCTTAGCCAATCGGACAGCACTACAGGTAGGATGTTGCTATGCTAGGATTCACAAGTGCTACTATGCTACAAGTGCATGTTAGAATGTCTAGCAATGGAAACTGGCTAGCTCATGTAATTTTCTGTTATTGTTATATCTGTTTAGTAACTGATGCCAAAAGTATAGTGACCACCTTACTGGAACTCATGTTGAGAGTAAACGCCTTCGTTCTGGTGTTTATGGTTGCCATGTCACAGCCTTGAGCAAGTTGTCCTGAGTATGTTTATGAATAGTAACATGTCTAGCTGATGAAATCGTCTGTCAAGTTTGTATTGTGATTGAATTGTATTGCATTGCACTGCCGTGTATCATATATATACTTTTACAGTGCGTCTGCATCACGGTCCCAGGGTAGAACAGTGCTGTGATGAGGTTTCCCTGGTCGAAAATGATTACAATAAATAAATGAAATTAATTGAATTGATTATTGAAAATTAATGAGAACATAAATGAACACAAACAGTTACATAAACAGGCACATAAACACGTACATAAACAGGCACATAAGCACATACATAAACTCGTACATAAACATATACGTAAACATGTACATAACCATATACGTAAACATGTACATAAACATATACGTAAACATATACATAAACACGTATATAAACACGTACATAAACACGTATATAAACACGTACATAAACACGTACATAAACACGTACATAAACACGTACATAAACACGTACACGTAAACGACTGCTTGCAGAGGTGGTTGATGTGCTGCGCACGCTTGAGACGATCGCCGGCCGCAAGGTCGACTGCCTCGCGCACGTGATGCCGGAGCTGCAGGCGCAGCTTCACAGCGCCTGCGCCGAGGTTAGGAGCGCCGCGCACGACCTCATCATCAAACACCTACGTCACCGACCCAGGTAACAAACCTCTCCCACCTGTTCCCAGCCTAGTGTGCAGAGCAGGTGTGCAGCGGCAGATTTCCCACATTAAAGGGATTGGAAATACAAGTCGTACGTTTATCGTGTTCGTCATTATATGTCATTGTGTTTATTCTGGGTCGAATTGGAGCTTTTTGGGCTTGTCAATTCTCTCTGTCCTCATACGGGTTCACCGGCGGTGCACGTTTGACAGTGACTGTACCGTAATAAGCTGCCGTATATTCAATGAGATAACTCGTAGTTAATCACACACCCGCCGAGCATCTTGAGGTATTGCAGACTTCCTAGGTTTAACATTTGTGCTCTCGTTGAAATCTGTGCTTGTTTGTTTGCTGCGTGTAGCAGTTCAGATAACTATGTGCCAGTCTACATGAGTTGCCTAAACAGCAGTAACCTGGATGTCATTGAGTCTATGCTGAAGGTCCTTCCAGAAGTTGCCCTTCTCTGTCAGGGTAAATCCTTTATTTCAACATATTCAAAGCTAAGACTTTGCTATGCAAAGAACTTGGCAGGCTGAGTGTTAAATACAGGACATAATAATATTTTCTGAATGTAAATCATAGAGATGACAGTGTTCATAGTATGTATATACATATGTTACCAAAAACACATGATCTTTTAATTGTATGATTTATAGCATTGGACTTTCGCTAACATGAAAATACATAATGTGATTTTGACTTGGGAGTATAGCAGACATATTCTGTAACTGGGATCCAATTACCCAGCTGTTCATTTAACAGTCATTTCATTTTTAACTTTGCAGAGCATTCAGAACAGCTGATCGAGAAAGCTTTCATGGTTGCGATGGAAACCAAATTTGACACCAGTTCCTATATTAGTGAGACACTGAAGCTGTTAAGTGGACAAGTTGGCAGTTAGTCGAGGCATTTGGCAGCAGAGTAACTGTTGGAATGTTAGGAACGAGTCTTTGTCGACCCCACTGCGGTTAACTCACGCCTAAGTTCGGAACTGCAACAAAGACTGACACGTGACCTGACACAGGTTGAGACGTAATTGTAGGAATGCTGTTGCTGTGTTTACTGTGACTATTAAGGTCTGTATTTACAAAACGTTTCACCCCCAACGAAGCCGATACATGATCCGGCACTTGGGTAAAATACGTTATGTGAAAATACCGCGCCAGCGTTATGATCATTGAAAGGACGGTGAAAAAGTCTGTCTAACACTGTCTGCCCATAAACTTCCTGCTGCGAGGTTATACTGTTATATGTAAAAAAAACATCTGTTTTGATGTCGTTTTTTACTTACTTAGGAATGTGTTGCTTGTCTAAGCTGCATATATGTACAAGAGCGTATAAAGAAGGCCTTCTTTATACGCTCTTGATATGTAAGTATGTGTATACAGAGTCTTTTGTAAGACAAATGTTTTGTCTTGGTATTTAAGAATCGTGCTGCTGAAGAACCCCAAAATTATAATGTCATGATCCTTTACACCAGGTATCAACAATGCCCTGGTGTGATCAATTATACCTTGTCTTCAATTATCATGTTTTTAATATTTATCACTGAGAAGAATTCGATAGCAGGAACGTAAGCTTCCTGTACTCCACGTGTGTTCCATCCGTGTATTCCATGCCCATATTTTCATAAAAATGCACATTACTTGTAAATGCATATATTACTTTATAAACTAAATGTGACAAAAGTTGTGGAAAAATCATGTTTTATTTGCTATATACTTACGTCGTTACTCCTAAAATTACTATACAGCAATGTTACACCCACACGCACGCACGCACGCACGCACGCACGCACGCACACACAAGGAACAAATTTCAGTATGCAAATAATTTAGTGCTGCAATCATGTATTCATCAAGTTTCCATACATAGTCCATACAATACCCAAATGTACACTTATTGCAACTTCTAAAACCAGGTGATAGCAAAAAATTGACTATTTAGATCCCACGCATTAACTACAAAAATATGTGCACTATCAGCCAGTAAGATTCAGCCTACCTGTGGTTACGGAGAACGTAATTACTATATGCATACTTCGTATATAAGGTGACTTGGTTATGTACACAGAAATGTTAAAAACACGTTTTTAAAATGAATATAAGCAGAAGGAAGACTTGGGCAATAATTGTTACATAAAAATATGGGGGTTGGGGTTCTTTGTTTGGCTATCCATGTTGTATGATTCAAAGTTAAAAACAAATTGAAGGACAAAGTTAAATTATGCTTCATCGTAAATCATAACCATTCATGCACGATAAATCCATAAGTATATCATAAAGCCACCAAGTAGTGTTCTTTCAAGCTTTTAGTCTTGACTAAAGAACTACCGGGCATAATTATCAGACATATTTTTCATAATTCATGAAATGAACACAGCCACGTTACCACAGGCATTGACACAGCAGGGAGTATAGTAGATTAACTAAAAGTGCCATAAATTTGTTTACAAAATTATATAATCTTTACAGAAATCACAAAAGCACAAAAAGCTGTTTATGTCCAGTTGCTTCCTATTTTTTACAATGGCCCGACTATTCTTAAAATCAACTCTAAACTAGTCATGGTGCAAGCTACTGTCCTGGCTCTTCATTTATGAACAAGAGAACTCATAATAAGGATACACAAATGCTACATAATTGCCACAACAGCATAATTTACATAACAGATCCTTCTCTTGTACATAAACGTCAATAATTATATTACTCCCATTTCCTCATTTCACATCACTATAATAAACAAACCACTCCTCCATAAGTCCACCTTGTAAAAAATGGTTTTTCATATTTCACGACTATGGTCAAGAGCAAGAGCAAGATAAAGATACATCTATCCTCTTACACGGTTATATATATATTATGTATGCGTAATTTCCAGAAATATATCGCTCTTATAGTAGTGATATATTTTTGTAATTAAACTCATACTGTTAATCAGATTCATTATTGCATTTATTATTCATATAGTATAAAATATATAAAACAACAGGCACTAGGGAGGAAGACCTTTCTACTAATTGGAGACTGAGACTACGTTTGCAATAGCATATTCGGTTTAATGAGTCAATGTTGCTATGGCAGTAAGGCTCATAGGGTCTATGTCCCCCAGGGTACTGCCGGAACGTACCCTGGTAACTATCTGATATGGTTAGGGTTAGGGAGTAGGCGTAGGCGACTCCCTAGACTTGTTAGTGGAGTAGGCGAGGTATGATCCGGCATATTAAATAGTACCAGGGTACGTTCTGGCAGTACCCTGGGGGACATAGACCCTCTCAGCGGCAGTAAGGGCCATTTTCCTTATTTCACCTAAATCACACTTACTTTACTGCTGTGGCTGTAACCAAATATGTGATTCTATATCATTTATGTCAAAGTGTGTTTTAGGATTTCAGCACAATGGAATAGCAACAGGGGAACATATGCTTTAATAGATTCTCTGTAAACTGGGCTCAACAAAATAATCACCTCCAAACCAAGATGCCACACGCAATGAATCATATTTCATCAAAATGGCACTAACTATGTCAGATGTGAGAATCGAAGTTCGTTACACTGAAAACACTAAACGTTATAGTGTATACACAAACTATAACATTCACCGCTATATTTTTAAAATCACCTAACAGGTCACAGGTTGCGTGACTTTTGATCATAAACTGTTTACTGTAAACCTATTTATTTTTTAATATATGTCTATATTCGTGCAATGATTATTGTTATTATGTATTGTATACATACAATTAACTATATTTGGATGCCTTTTGTATATCATATAAAAACATAAACAGTGAAAAAATAAGCAGGTTTTCAGTATTGTTTATACCTCTGGGAGCAAAAGATTAGGATGATTATACTTTTTGCATAGCATTTCATTAGTAAAAAAACCTTCGGTGGACAGTTTAAGCTTAACACTTCAAGCTGCCAATAATTCCAATAGGGGATGGTGAAATAGGATTCTGATCATTTTATCTCTGTATCACAATAAATATACATCCTAAATGAAATGAGAAATTAATGCTGCATTAACACAATTTTAAACCCACGTGACAGCATTTGGCAACACAGCACGATTAACACATGTGTGGAAACAGTCAATTTTGAGTGGATAGCTTATCTGAATGTAGACTTTCTTTTAGCAAAATTTACCAGATATGCTATCTCACACACATAACTACCGTAATTTTTCAGGCTTGTAGTTTTCAACAACCCATTGCTGACGTGGTGAACCATGGCACGTTTCCATTATAACTTTTTTATGATCTGAAGACATTTCCATACACCGTCCGCTTGATACATGTGAGATCGCCAGCGTCTACAAATACAACAAAATACAATACATTAATACACTAAACATTAGTTATCTCTTTTCTTATTACAGCGCAGATATATAACCTAGCATACTGGGAATAAATTTTACAGTGATACATTATTAGTAAAAATAATAAAGCCTAGTGATATTGAAAGTTATATATATTACTGTACGACGAAACACAAGCATATAAGCATTACTGCTGTCAATCAATGGACATCAACTAACCAACTGCTCACAATATGAAGATTAACACACATAAACAAGTAATTTAATTTTTGCTCTATTATAGAAAATTTAAAATGAGGCTGGGTTTCCAGTAAAATGTGTATAATGGTTATAAAAAATGGCATTTTTCCACATATACCTCTGTATTATACTTCCACTGTTGGTTTCCTTTCTGGTTATGACAAGGGTAAACTATCACATCTTTGCCACTGTAATCCAGACAAGAGTCATCTCTCCTGATTTCTGCTTCTTTGCTAAACTGCCAGAACTAAATAAAAGAAATGAGAAATGTGTTAAAGGTACATTCCACCTTAAATCATGGCATAAGTCTGGCAAAAGTCATTACATTGTTTTTGGTTGATACTTGTATATAACATGCAACACGTAAAACGAGCAGTATTCTGTTTTTTTCTAAGAGCCTAGACAGTATAAATATTTGGAAAGATGTTATAAATGGCGTTTAGTTTTGGTCCTCATCATTTTCTGCAGACGTAATGTAGCTGTCACTCATGCAAATACAATGTGTTTGCACAACTAACTACCGAAACCCAACGAAAGACGACTTTTGAGTTAAAGTTATTGGAGTGTGTACCTGATTGCCACCTTGCCTATGGCATTTATACATGGATACAGGCTTGTGGTGGGCAGCACGATTGGCAAGACTATCAAGGCACCATTCAGATGCATCTCCTTTGTTACGAATCTAAACAAAAAAGAACATCATATATATGCCTCTGATACTAACGTGACATTCACATTATAAAACGTACATTTGCCTTCCTTGTATAATCAACTTAGAACTGAGATTAGTTTTTCATTAAATGCAATTAATCATGACTGTCCCAAGCCCTAATATTAATATTAATTTGGAATGTCAAATGAGGATGGCTTTACACACACGACTATACAACTTCATGTTTATAATTGTTTGTGTTACTTTGCACTTGTAACAATTGATTTAAACTTGTGCTGTCCTTCCCCTTTCCAAGGACAACAAAAATATATGGACAACAAACTGTTGATAAATCTGAATGATGTCACGTGCGTCATCCTGTTGATATTTAAAATAAAATGAACAGAATGACATTTAGTTCTGGAATGCCATCTCATGCAACTGTTGTTTCATACTTACCTCCCCTGATGCAACAGCATCCCCAGGAATAAATTGCTCAGGATATACATTTTCCAAATACCATTTGAACGACTTGCACCCTAGGTCTTGCCGCAACTTTTTCCGACTCGACACATCTCCAAAATCGCCCTAAAGAAAACAACAATAACATCACTATGGCAACTCTAGTTCAAAATGCCAAGTAAATATTTTGGTTCTCACTGCCAGGTTGTAAAGCTAGCCTTCATATATAGCTTCAACGGTGCAGCAACTGTTTTTATAATAGAAACACTTTTTAAATACAGTCCGTCCTCCTTTATCCGGCCACGTCGGGACCGGCACCCATCCGGATATGGGATTTGGCCGGATATGAAAGTTATGCTCAAACACTGCATTTCTATGCAGTTCAGTAGGGTTTATGCATGTGATAATGTATTTACTCGTTGCTATGATTGATAATTTGTAACAAACTGTCGTGTTTTATGGTTTATATGAAATGGAAATAAAATGAAATAAAACAGAAATTTTACCACTTCGGTTTATGTTTGTTTCTTTTGTGCTGAGATCTAGGGCTGTAACGATCGATACGCTCGCGGCGTTGTATGCCTAGGCTAGGGATGTTACATGTGCACAGCAGCGGCAATGTACGGGGCTCGATCCATCGCGAGTGCGTAGCGAGGTAGCGCGTTTCACTAACGTCCGCTAGTAAAAGTTATTCGTTAACGGACGAAAGTTGTCCGGAGGCATAGCGGACAACACACACGCACGCACGCACGCACGCACGCACGCACGCACGCACGCACGCACGCACACACATTTTTGTTCATTTATATAGAATACAATGTATATATCTTTCATTCCTTGGTAGTTTTTACAGCATCAACAAGTGAGTACGTATTCGTGAAATATTCGTATTAATAGGGCCGTATATTTATACATGTACATGTACATGGGCGTTTACTCTTACGGTAAGTGTGTTTGTTTTGTGTATGTGATAGCTGTGCGCTCTTACGATAATCAATGTGTACATCGCGCGAGAATCATTGGTACATCGCTCAAATTTTGAGCGAGCTTTGAGCGAGATTTTTAGGTGGAAATGAATGAAAAACAGAGAACATACACTGCGACATCGCGGCCGGTTAATAGAGATTTCCGGATAATGGATGGCCGGATAAAGGAGGTCGGACTGCACATCAATAGGTTGAAAACTTCACGGAAAACAGAATCCTTACCAAATCATTGCTGACTCGATCAAAGTAATACTTCTTGTAGTCGTCCAACCAGACCTCCGCTAGTCGTATGGAGTTTTTCTTCAGTACATTAGTGCCAGTCCTCCACTTGTATGGACTGCGCTTGCGAAAGATGTGTCCAACATGAGAGCAAGGTATGATCTCCAGCGTTCCACCACACATCCACGTCTAGCAAAGGCAAAAACATATATACACATCAACATTAATAAAGCGCTTGATAACACATCACTTTGCGTTCGAGTGCAATATCTGCTGCGAGCCTAGCAACTCGTAGCGTGGCAGCCTAGCCTCCGGTACCACGACAGTAATAGTAATTATTCACTCGAACAACATTCAAACAACATGAAAGCTTAGAATGCAACTATTATAATTTATCATCTAAATCAAACCTAAAAGTACTCGTACCTTAAATGAAATCTCCAAGTTCTCTCCTCCCCAAATGTCAAATCCTGGATCATACGTTCCTAATTTTTCGAACCAGGCCTTGTCAATTGAAAACAGGCCACCTGCCATAGTTGGTGTGCTATGGAAATAAAAATATTCCATGTAATATTATTATATGATAATTTCATATAAATGTGCATGCGTGCATATATGTGCTTTTGTGCTTTTGTGCGTGCGTATGGATCTGGGAATGTGTGCACATTCACTGGTGCATCGTTAACCAATTTCAGCTATTGCCTAGGTAATCCCAAGATGATGAATGTGATCATGATGAGAGAATAAGAGATCCTACTACCTTCATACCAGGACACAGCCTTTAACTATTATTAATGTGCTGCCTCCCATTAAGTTCTACACAATCCACTGCTTATTTTTCTACTCTAAATATTTCACATGAAATATGCTATTCGATCCAGAACCAGAGCATCTCTAGATTGTATACTTTCAACAATAGCGGCCAAGTCGGCATAACTGCATACATACTGAAGGGGATCGACCTCGCTCGCCCTTCGTTTTTTCTCTCGCTCAGGGATTGCATGCCAGTTAAACTGCATGTTCCAGTCAAAGCCGCCAACACTGATAGATGCTGCCTTTCCATAGTGGTACTCGAGTGTGCTGTCATTGATGACATCGATCACGGGGCATACGACAGTTGTTACATTACGAGCGATTTGGTCAAGCAGGGGCACTAACCAGCCTGCAAATGAACAAGATGATCCAGGGCGTTAGTTTGGTTGGGGTCACACGGATCTAAATCACTGATCCAGCTGATGACAAAGTGGTTTCGAGAAGATCCAATATGGTGACACGTGACATTATCAGCCCCAACCAGGTTCACTGCTAGTTATGGTGGCTATACAGACGACACAGGACTGACCAGGTCACTTATTTAAAAAACATCTGCATTTGTTTCGAGGCAGATGAGAATCAAGTGATGTAATTCCATCCGGGAAATGTAAGAAATTTATAGTGCACATTGATAAATTACAAGCATTTACCTTCTGCACATTCACAGTGCGAATCCAAGTATGTGAGCACCTGTCCTACGGCAGAAGCAGCACCAAGCAGCCTTGCCCTGATCAGACCCTCCCGTCGTTTCGCACGAATGACACGTACCTTGTCTGTTTTCACTGCAAATTCATCTAATTGCTGTTTTAGATGATCTGCAAAATCAACACATAAGATTTTCATATATTACTGGTACCTATTGTACGATGCTATTACAACATTGTAGTTATGTTGCAGTAACAATGAAATCTCACATAAGAACTAGAATATTGTATACTATGAGAGGTTACCTTATTAAGTTCCACATTACAATAATACACATTACAGTAATACACATCCAAACTTACAATAATATACATTACTTATACAAATACACACATTATATGATATGATATGATATTATATCTTATATATTGATCTTGTCTGATATTATATCTTTTCAGCTATTATATATATTTTTATAGAAACCATGCGAAGTAAACACGCTATTTTATGCAATAAGTATCATATATACTCCAAAACTCTAGAATTCTTGACAAATGCTCCTCTTTATGAGTTTATATTTCAAACTGTGTTGAATAGATTAGATCTAAATATAAAGGTTTCTGTGCTCACCCATATCAGAGAAGTCATCTACAAGTATAACTTCATTGAGAAGAGAAGGTGGTGACCTGTCTATTACACTGTAAACAGTGCGTAGCAGAGTTGACCAGGCTTCATTGTGAAAGCAAATTATCACACTTGTGTCTGGTAACTGGGAGACAGGCAGATATTGTTGTTTACTGCATCTAATGAATAGAAATACGTGTATTAACTGTATGCTATAAGGGTCATACGGTTTTCTTATTACACAATTAGATAGACAAATTCCTTGTGCAACATAATTCACTTTCTATATTAAGTCACACAGATTAAATTTATACATTTGAATATAACCTGCACGTGATAATACATAACTACATGGTTGCATTCCAAAAACGTGCCCTACAGCTCTTGATGAAATAAGGTGTTAATGTGATCACTCACTAACGTCAACCTCACTTAAGTTACTAAGTTACTAGATACTTGTACTTTTATATATACTTTTATACTTTTATATATATACGTATACGTTTATATTCAGCAAATTTATGATTAAAATCCACCTCTGTATATTTACAATACACAAATCAAATTCCAGAACTAGAAGAATTTTTTTTTTCCAATCTAGCTTTTATCTCAACTTTCACTAATTTTTTATGCAACTCAATAGAGCTTCTTGTATATTTAGTCAACAACTTGTATTAACTGGAACTGACTTAAGTTAATCATGGTTCAATATGACATTTGGATAATTGCCTAAATACTGGACAAAACTGTGTAAATTAAACTTACTGTGGATCCCTAACATCAGGTAGATGTCTGTGGAGGGAAACACGGTCACTTATATATTGGTTAAAAGCATTCTTCTGTAAGCCTTCATCTACTTCCTTCTGCTCTTCAGGAGACAGCTTCTTCAGCCTAACTGGACGCCCCATTTCCCCAGGAGCTTGAGGAAAGCTGAGGAAAGAAACAGTCATCTTACACCTATTCAGGAACATATTTTTGTACCCACATAAATGTCTTTTACAACTGGAGACAATCACGTACATGTCCTCAGCTTCTATCAAGTTGTGAAATTCATGAACCTGTAATACATAAAATGACCATGCCCTGATGACACTTTAGCATAGTTAGTTTAGACATGTATAGTAGCAATAAAATCGTGAAGCTGCGTACACATATTCACACTAAATCGGATATGCAGTGTTAAGAATACAGGAACTTGATCTGAAGGCAAAACATTTGCAAACATGATATTAAAATTAATGGTTCACTTGTGCAAACAATATATATCAAATGGAAATCTATGACGATTAGTTCTCACCTGATTGACAATATTTATATATTAATGCCTGCTGTTGGGGGCACTATGCTCTCATAGTGTTGCTGAGGGAAGGAATAGTGCCCGAGCAGTAGCGAGGGCACTATTCCGTCCCAAAGCAACACTATGAGAGCATAGTGCCCCCAACAGCAGGCATTAATGTTTTTAGTGCATCACATGACTATGCAATCTTCTTTATACTCCCTAATTTGCCGGTGCATTCGATGTAACAAAACGTTCGACACAAACACAACCGCCGTTCGAAATTACTCTTGCGTAGCGCCCAGACGCAGGAGATTCGTGACGTAAACACAATGCGTTATAATAACAATGCGTCGCGCAAGCGATAGTGCCCGCTCAGGCGGGCACTATCGCTTCATAGTGCCTGCGACGTTATCCAATGAGATTGCAGCGATTTATCACGTCATGCACTAATATAGTGTATAAGAGCATAGCTAGACTCCAACTTACTAAGGTTTTGTGCTTTGTTTCAATCCATCCTCCCGTTGCAAAGAATCCTTTTGTTGTACACCCTTAGACTTGATCTTGTCTGTATGTTCTTGTAAATGTTTTTCCATCTTTTCTACACCAGATCTTTGTAAATCATCTTGCAAGTGTAGGTTTAAATTATCTAATGGTATGCCAGCACCTTGGTCGTTTTCAATTATATTGACTTTTTTACTATCTGCTGCTAGTAAATTGACACCTTTCGCAGCAACCTCTGGCTTGTAATTGTGCAGATTTGCTTCACTATTAATAACATCCCTATCGTGTAGATTTAACACATCTTCTCGTTCAGACGTGCCAAGTTTTAATCGGTGCTTGTATCCAGTGATGATCACAAATAAAAACCAGACTGAAGGAATAGCGATGGCTGCTTTCAAAACCAGGGAACGCTTTCTAAAAATACTCATCTTGTTAGTGCTGGGACATCACGTAATTTATACGTGTTGCAGCCCTGTAAAAATCCATTATATATATTACATTCTATACACTGATAGATAGGCAGATAGATAGATGGATGGATGGGTGGATGGATGCATGAATGGATCAATGAATGGATGGATGGATGGATGGATGGATAGATGAACGGATGGATGTATGGATGGATGAATGAATGAATGGATCGATGGATGGATGCACAGGCACTTGTAGCGTTTCAATAAAATATAATGCTAAATAAATACGAAATCTATTTACTACCAAAGTCTTAATGTTTCTCTACTCTCCTTCACCTATTATTGCAGACAAGCTGTGCTGAAAATGCTCCAGCCACAGCAAACACAAGCCAAACCGCACGCACGCTGTCAAAATATACGCACCAAATGTCTCTACTCTATTTCGCCAATAATCACCTGTAAATGCCGGTCAAATGCTCATTTGCAACACACAAGTACACCGCACGCCCGCGCTGTGCACAAACAACCTGAATAAGAGAGATTTTTTATTGAGACGTTCGAAGTGCGGCCTGTGCCTACGGCTACGGCTATGACTACGACTGAGTACGTACGAGTAGGCTACGACATCTCAACTTCGACGTTGGTCGTTGCCACTTCAACTTGCATTACAGAGTTGACTATTAATTATAGTAAATCCCCGATCAATTTATACGAATAATAATTTAAAACACTTACCTCGACAGTAATAAACTAACAGCTAAGCTGTAAAACATGGAAGATAACAATGTTAAGTAAGAAGGCGCTTCCGCGAGTAACCTCACTTCACCATGGCCCTTGACCTATAAAACCGGAAGTTTTCACAGGAAGTACGTGGCGCGCGTGGACATCCATGCCAAAGTAAAAAGCCACCCAATCATAATACGATACAGCTTCTATGATTGTCACGTGTTTCGTTATTATTCATTATTGATCATTTATAGTTTGCATTTTTATAATTATTTATATATATAATATATATATATATATATATATATAGTATATATATATATACATAGTGTATATATATATACAATACATAAGTGTATAATATTGGATATGTAGACTATGATGCCATTGTCAGTGGCAGTGGCAGTGTCTTGAGATGAAAAATTGGTGAAGTATACAAGCTCATATATATTGTGTTAGAGATAGTTGCAATCAAGCGACAAGCTAACAAATTAAACAATGTCATGATGTTAATGGGCTCTTTTTGTCAAGGAAGAATAATTCGAATAAACAAAAAAGTGAGGAAGAAATTATTATAGACGGGTATAGGAATAATAAATTTGCACGAATCCCAAATACTATGTACTTTTCCTTTTATTTGTCGTTATACTATTTGAGCAGAATCAAAATCCACCAAATCTTACCTTTACATGTTCTACAGAAGATAACTAAAGAATAAGTACCGTACTCCTATTTTGACAAACAATTTCATTATAAATATGCAGGGCTTCTAATGATAATACATATATACATACAAAATGAGAACCGTGCGAGTTAATTTTATAAAAAATATTTACGATTACTATAACAATAGCTCAATCTGCTATGTTTACACAATTCTGGATCTATTACCATATTTACACCGTGTACAAGACTGTATTATAATGTACTTTATATTGATTGCACAAGAAACACCTACGGACCAAACAAAAAACAAACGTAATACTATAATACTACCATATTATAAAATAGAAATATTAGAGCTACTCTTCTACACAAACTAAGTATGTGTGTGAAATATATTTGCGACAAATGAGTGTGACCAGACATGAACTATATGTCTCTCACTTTTCAATGAGTCCTCCTTCCCTACATCTGTTCATAAAGAACTTCTCTAGCGTATTGGCACAGCGATAGTACTCCGTGTCCGGCGCGTTGTAAGAGCGGCAGTTGCTGAAGATGCGGTGCATGTCGGCCATGAAGATCTTCTTGTTCGTGTAGTAGCGCGTCTTCAGGCGCTCCTGAATCGTCTTCAGGTCCATCGGGTAGGGGATGATGTCGTAGTAGTCAGGCGCCTCCGACGGATCGACCGGCCGCTGGAAAGGCCACGCCGAGCCGTGCTGTTTCACGTGGTTGTGTATGATCTTGAGCGTCGAGTAGAGCGCATCGGGATCAGGGCACTCGCGCTCGGGTTCATCCTCCGGCCGCCAGCCGGCATCCCGGATGCCCGGGATGCTCTCGACGGGAATCTCGCGCACGCCGTCCTGGAAGCACTGCAGGCCCGGGTAGACCTTGCGGATCGTTCCTTGCTTCTGCTCGATCAGCTTCTTGATGATCTCGCGCTGCCGGCAGATGACGTTTGAGAACTGCGTGTAGACGATGCGCGGGTTCAGCTCGCAGCCCATCAGCGTCGCGCCCTCGTAGTCCTTGATGTAGCCGATGTAGGCGGCACGCGGCAGCTTGATGTCCTTCGAGAAGCCCTGCTTCTTGAAGTAGCCGATCGCAAACTCGTCGGCGTACGTAAGGAAGTGGTAGATGCCGTGCTTGACGTGGTAGTCCTTGAGGTGGTTCATCAGGTGCGTGCCGTAGCCCTTCACCTGCTCGTTGGACGTCACCGCGCAGAAGACGATCTCCGTGAAGCCCTGCGTCGGGAATATGCGGAAGCAGATGCCGCCGATGACCTTGTTGTCGTCCTTGATGAGGCACATGCACTTGTGCTTCGGGTCGAACACCAGCCGCGTGATGTACTCCTTGGGCATGCGTGGCAGCTGGTGAGAGAATACGTTCTGCAGGCCCACCAGCCAGATGAGCACTTCTCGACTCGGCTTCTGACTGAAGGAGTTGCCCACGACGTGGAACTTTATCAGGCCTTTCTTCTCCTGTTGCCTGGCAGCCTCGTCTCTCGCGGAGTGATGGTGTAGCAAAGTTGACTGGAGCATATAAAAATAAATAAATCAACTAGTTCAATACAAACTTAATGAAAATATTTGCAGGTGAAACTATGTCACTGTGGTGCCAAATCATTTTTTGGACGAAAGATCATTTAATAAATAGTTACATTCAGTTGACACAAGCAGTGTTTGTCATGCAACTGAGTGCTACATTTGAACTCGAATGATTTCATAAATACTGAACATTAATGAGCACTTACCTCTGGTCCAACCATTGAAGTAGGATCAGTTATTGTCTCTAGTATATCACTGATGACTTGCATTGGAATGTCACCTTCTATTTTCCTTCTCTTCGAATCTTCTTCGCTGCTGTGCTCTGAATTCTTCCTTTTATCGCCGTCTGTAATATTTAGTTGCACAGACAAAACCCTAAAACGTCTGCATCTGTTGTCTCACACGAAACTGATTTCAGTAATTTATTCAACGACTCCCCAGCACACAGACTACACAATCCACACAGTCCACCTACCAGAGACATTGTCCTCCTCGCCCCTGCCAGAGCTGCTGCGTGTTCGTGTGCGTGGCAGACCTAGGCTGAGGTTGCTGACTGTGATAACAGCCTCACCATTGCGTAATGGCGTACTGCCTGCCGATTGTCTGACTGATGCAGACTTCTGCAACCCAGCCGTCGCAGTTTCTGTAGACGCCACAGTCGATGTAGGAACCGTAGCTGCAGCAGCTGTACACAATTACCACTTGCATTAGCGGTATAGGTAGCAAGTAGACGTTCACTTATAGAACATGAACAATATTACATAAAGTAATAAACAATACTAGACAGCAAGTTTTAAATACGTGACAGACTTGTGTCTGTGAATGAATAGTATGATATGCATAATAGATATAATATATATATATATCATGGGTCGAAATCCTAATGGGCCCGATGCCCGTATTTTAAGGCTACCAAAAGACATTTCTAATACCAGCAAGCCTGACGGGCCCGTAGAAAATCTATGTGCACATTCTATTGCTGTAGTGCAGGCCAGCCAACAGTTAAAAAAAGAGTCCCGAGAGTGAGGACACCAGGGAGGACAGTGACAATTCTGACAGCTCATTAGTAGTCACTGAATATGTTCTTTGTATTACTGTAAATAAGCCATTGTAAAAAATTCATATTTCAGTCTTTTATTTTTTTTTAATTCTCCAGTATCTGCGGAATGATGCGGGCCTGTAATTTGACTGTCAGGCCTGTAAAATCCCTTACCTACAGGCCCGACTGGCCTGTAAATTTTCAAAGCTAAAAACGCGATAGTCGCAGGAGGGAATAATAACGGGCAATCGATATTATTTGCTCCTGATAGCGGGCATGTAAAATTTTTGTTACTGTACTTCCATTAGCAGAGGTGGTACAGGGGTCAGTGTTAGCGGTGTAAGTTTACATGGGGGCATATTGTTTTGTACATTAAAAGCAAGACGATATTGATGTACTAATTTGTTATAAAGTTTTCCTTTATTTTACAAAAGTGCCTTGGTGCCCTTCTCAATTTTGAGAGTTGCCTTGGTGCCTTTCTTTTTTAGAGAAAATTCAAGGCGATTTCTCACATGCCCTAAAAAATTGCCTTGCCCTTCTCGTCGCTTAATTCGAGCCCTGCTTGCACAGTAATTCCTA